ATAATGATCTGCATAAATATTTATATATAATATCAGTGGTTGCTTTAAATTCCTATTCTTTATAGTCTGGGCTTTTTTTTTTTAAGGAAGAGAAAAAATTAAAACATCTATATTATCCTTCAAAAGTCACATGGAATTTACAAGTACAGTAGTAATACTGTAACAAGCAAAAGACCTTTTAATTTTTGATCACTAAATAAAGTTATTCTAATATCAAAAATATCTTCACACTTAATGGATTCCAACTAAAAATTCCACTTCATCCATCGAGAATCCAAGGTGCCCATCTGCCTTTCCAGCTTGCCCCTAATATTAAACCATACTTTTTGGCTTATTACTTTTGATGCAAAAAGAAAGGAATAATTCCCCCACCCCACTTAAGCTCTGACACCAACATTACTGAACTGGTCTCAGAAACCACTTAAATAAATCTCTTTATCTGCTAACTTTTCTATCCCTCCATTTAAATAAGAATAACACCAAAGCACATCCTCCATGCATCCAGGAGGTCAATCACATTTCAAAGTTAAGTTGCTTTTAAATAGAAATCACTACCTGTTATTAATTGGGGGGTGGGGGGAGAGAGGGAGAAGAGGGGAATCTGGGGGTGAGCTATAAATAGCAAACTTATGCTGCGGTCAATTGGCTTGTCTTATTTGTTTTTACTTGAATCTTAGTTGTTATTTTTAAAGTACTTAATCACTTTAATCTAAATCTGGAACTTTAGAGTAATTTTAAATGTCACTAGGATGACCCTAGATATCTGTCTCAGTACCAGACTGGGACAACTAAAGCTACCCTACAAATCCTCCAAATCTTAAAAAACAGAAGACCTTCTAGTAGAGAGAATTAAGGGTCAGGAATCCTTTAAGGATCTTAATTAACTCCAAAGTAATCCCAGGGAATTCAGGTATCCTAAACTGATATTCAAGCACCACCCTATTCCCTCCTACAATCAAAATCCACTATTCAAAGAGCAAAACTGAATCAATAGAATCCTATGACGTAGTCTCCCAAGACAGATTTGTTCTGCTGCTCTTTAAACTGTGATGCACCCTCAAGTTGTGAGCAAATTTTCTACCCTGTGCACCTCCTATTTCCAAGGATTTAAAAAAGTTGTCCACTGTTCAAGGGAAAAGATGTTAATCTGAATCCTGACTGTACTTTGCTGAATGGTGAAAGACCCTTTTGGTTTATTTCTTCACCTGTAAAACACAGTGATCATATTAGGTGATCTGTAAGGCTCTTTTTTACTCTAAATTATGTTATTCTATGTTTGTTTTTCAAATAATGTTTTCTAGTTTATTTATAACAGCTCAGAGACAAAGTTATGGCTGCCAGTGGAGGCAAAGGGGTTAAGGATAGGGTGTGTTAATTACTGTAAGAGGACCACAGAAATAACTAGGAAATAGAAATTTGGTCCAGTGCCCCAAGCCATGCTCCAGATGTTTCTAAACCCTTATAACCCTTCCTACATTACAAACACGTTCTAAACATCCACCAATTTGAATACTTAAATTGCCATATACTTCAATAACATTTGATATAGCTTATAATTAATGTTATCTTTTATTCACAAGTAAAACTTACCTTAAGAGAAGCTAGTAAATGTAAATTTAAGTGTTAAGTTTACCAAAATGTAAAGAAATGAATTTGAAGTTAATGAAGATAGCCTGGTGAAAAGACAGCCAAGCAACTAAGCAAAAATATTAGTATTTTTAAAGCACAACTTTTAATTAGCTCACTTTTTTAAAAAAAAGAAACATTACCGTTAATGTTGTCACAGTAGTAAAAGTGTTCATCATTTAGAGAAGGACATGCTGAGACCAAATCCTGCAGGCCAGCACCAGTTACCGTAAGACAACCAGATAGATTAAGGTGCTCTAAATGAGGCAGTCCTCCTCCCAGAGTCAAAACCCTGTTAAAAGAGAGATAATCAAATCACATTAAACTATCCAAAAGAGAATTATGCAAGAATTCTGATGATCATTTGAAGTTTACATTTATTTTTCCATATAACGTCCATGGAAACAAGAAATTAACAGATTTTGACAATATTTATAAAACTGAGAGGCCAGCACAGTGGACTAGGCACAGAACTGGCCTTAGAGTCAAGAAGACCGGCTTTCAAGAACTATCTCTGACATATACAGGCTGTGTGACCATTGACAAGTAACTTAACCACTTAACCACTCAATGTCCCAGGCTACTCTTTTAAGAAAGGAGTTCTTAACCTTTCATGTATTGTGGACTCTGGATCTCTGGTGAAAATTATTAACCTTCCTTCTCAAAATAATGTTTCTAAATGCAAAAAATAAAGTACACAGGATCATAGAGGAAACTAGTTATATTAAAATAAAGACATAATTTTTTCCCCCAAGTTAAGAACCTTTACTCTAAGACTATATAAGTTTCAGAGCAAGTGTTGATTTACATTCATAGAAGAATTTGCTTGCTAGGAGCTCACTACAGTGTTGAAATCACAGCTTTAGTCTATAAATCTATATCGATATTAGTATCGATATAGAGATACACATACATATATATGAACATATATATAACATATACACATATATAAAACAAACCTTTTAAAATAGATTTTAGGCAACATATTCAAGTTAACTATTTAATCTCTCAAGATCTCTCAAGTAAATCCCTAACCTGCATTAGCAAAATATATTCCAATAACTCAAAGTTCTTAAAGAAAAAAATTATTGCTTTCACATTCTGTGATTTATAGTCATTTTCTGCTGTCAAAATTAAAATAAGCACTACAACTTTTATTAAGAAATCTATTAAAAGTTAAAATGATTGAAAAACATAAAAGCACGGGCAGCCAGGTGGCGCACTGGATAGAGCACAGGCCCTGGAGTCAGGAGGACCTGAGATCAAATCCAGCCTCATACACTTGACATTTACTAGCTGTGTGACCCTGGGCAAGTCATTTAATCCCAACTGCCTTGCCAAAAAAAAAAAAATTATATATATATATATATATAAGCAGTATAAAAATAATGAGCTATGATTGAGGAAGCCGTATAAAATTACAAAAGTATAATGCAAATATTTAGAAAAATAAAGATGGAAAAAAGGGAATATTGTATCTGAAAACACATCAAATATAAAATCTAAAATTTACTCACATACATTCCCCAAAATTTTGATAAGGAAATACATTTTAATTCAATATAATTTCCCACCTGGCAGGGAGTGCTGGTCACAACAGTGGCAGTTCTGAATCTCTGAAGGCTTGGCAAGAATAGTTTAAGAATTCCTATTGCCCTACAATGGGCAATAGGTAAACAACAATCATCACGACTGACATTCCATACTACAGAAACTATTTCTATGCAAAAAGGAAGCACTTCAAATTTTAACAAGAACTGCAAGGACAATCCTCTGATGCCTCATTCCTTGGCATGCAGGTAAAGCTGGGTTCTCTACAGCTACATATACGAAAGCAGAATATTAGTTCTGATAGATCCAACCAAGAATTAAAGGCTTCAAAAATATCAATGGAGTAACTAAAAGAATGAGTGCCTGTCTGTCATCCAATCAGACTAGCTACAGTAGATAAGAGTACCAGAACTGGAGTCAGGAAGACCTGAGTTCAAATATGGCCTCAGACACTTATTAGCTAGGTGAAGTCACTTAATCCTGTTTGCTTCAGTTTCCTCATCTGTAAAATCAGCTGGAGAAAGAAATGGGGAACCACCTCAATATCTCTGCCAAGAAAACCCCAAACAGGGTCACAAAGAACCAGACACAACTGAAACGACTAAACAACAAATTCAGAGAAGTTCATCACCACAATGAACAGTTTGGGCCAAATTAATTCAGAAAGATCACCAAGCAAGCATGGAAAAAGTGCTTCATTTATTAATAATCACAGAACCTTGAAGTACTTAAGTGTTTAAAATAAGTCATTTGCTATTTACCAGAGAAAATTAAATTTTCTGAGATAGTTTTTATTCCTGACACAGAGGTAATGTTACCTGAAATACTTGGGAAAGGGATGGGACACTAGATTTATATATAAGAAACTGGGTCTTAAATCCCAGTTTAATAAACCATACTGTATTAGGTGAATGAACTTAAACAGAGGAGGTCTGAATCTGTTTCCTTATCTAACTGGTACACATACCTCTTCAGACATATTATACTCTGCAAATAAACTTCCTTTGCAGATACAAAGTCAAAGCAAACTTTAAAATAAAAATTCCATCTCAAAAGCACTCACACAAAACTGGATGGTACTACTCATGTGGGCAAATGTCTGTCCCTATGTCTCACATAGTTTAAAGGGCTATTATTATAACTAAAGTTGCCAATCTATTAATCAATCAATCAATGAGTGTTTAAGCATCTACTACATGTCAGGTACTACTCTGGATACAAATAAAATAAACAAAACAATCTCCACTGTGTGCCTAGCAGCACACAAAGGAAACTGTGAAAGGAATACCAAAAATTGAGTATAAGATCATGTACTGAAAGGTAGAAGAAACCTTAGAAGCCATCAAGTTCCTTCACTTTACAGATACAGAAATGGAGACCCAAAGACATTAAGTGATTTGCCAAAGATCACGGTGATTAACAGGTAGTAGCAGGATTAAATTCCCAGTGTCCTCTGTCTGGAACACCAGTCTTCATTCCCCAGTACGACATCTCAATTCAACAACAACTTTATTAGGCATTTATCATATACAAGGCATACAAACTTTTTCTTTAAAAACCAATACTTGACCTCAAGGAACTTACATTCTCCGGAGGGGATATGCCATGTACAAAAATAAATACAATATAATTTAAGGAAGGAGAAGACATTAAATCACTAGTGGGGGTGGGGGGAGAGAATTGAGGTTTTCTGAATTAATATATGTTGGAACTAAGCTGGAAACCTGAGCTAGGAAGGAAGATAATTACTCTGGAGGGTAAGGATGAGAAGTGTAGAAGAATGGGCTCAAGTGAAGTTTCATATGTTTTTGTTTGTTTTTTAGAACAAGAAAGACCTGATTATACATTATAGTCAGTATGGAAGAAAACAGTGGATGGGAAGAAACAAAAGGAAATCATTCAAAGGAAAGTGAAAACTATGTCAATGAAACATTTAAAAATACACAGAAGAGACACAAACAAGACAGGTCTGGTACTGTCATGTAAAATTGTACTAAAGGTTCAATTTCATAGAGGGAAGGGAAAGAGAGGAAAGGGGAAGACAAAGCAGGAGAATTATCAGTAAGAAAAGCTCCTGGAAGAGATGAGAAAATGGGACACAGATACATATAGAAAGGTGACACCCTAGCAAAGAAAAAGATCAACTTTTCCTCAGAAACTGGAAAAAGGAAAGAAGTCACATAGGGGACTCTGAAGTGTGGATTAGGCGATAAAAGAGAATTCTTGATTCAGGATTATAAAAGGTGATCTTGACTTTTTTCTTAAAAAGGAGGCAAAGATATCTACTGAGAAATTAATTTCAAGATATTTTCCATATCCTTAGGTGTTAATAAAGGGGATAAACTCTGGCACAATTGACATGTCGATCAGGGAAAAATAAAAGGATTATCTCAAGAGAAACAGAAGTCTTTTGCTTTTTGCTTAAGGCATTTCTTTATATCTACAGCTCTACAAATAATGGATTAGAGAACATCAAAGCACATGTAAAATTAATTTGGCAGTGTGTAGAGTGGCAAGAAGTGTGTTTTATCTTGCAAAATAATTCTAATTAAGCTTGTGATAAATTTCAATAGTGGATCTGGATGCATCTTTAAAAGTATTTTCTACTACAAGACTTTTTTGAAAACTGCTCTCAAGTAAAGTTTTAGGTTAAAACATACATTTGTTTTCAATAGCTGTTCTGCCCAAGGCCTAAATGACTTCCATTTCAGCAAATAGTAATTTTCAAAAATCTAAACTGAATAAACAATGATAAGTTGTTCAACATCCACTAGTTCTTACACCAAGGTAATCAACCAACCAACATAGGGTTGCAATGGGATGTTCAAGTGTAACTCAAATAACAGACAGCACCAATTTATAAGATTAGCACAAAGCAGTTCCAATTGACTCAGTTCAAGCTTACGTCTCCCTCAGACTGCTATTTTAATTGCTCTGATTTATTCTATACTTCTGTCAAGGAAAATTCAACTATATCTTATCATCTAACCACAAACATTTAAGTTCAAGCAATGATTTTTTTAGTTACTGATACGTCCAAAGAAAAAATTGATAGTCTAAATGCAGATCAAAGCATACTATTTTTCACTTTATTTGTATTTTTTCTTTGGGACTGTGTCTTCTCTCACAACACAACTAACATGGAAATGTTTTGTAAGACTGAGTACGTATCACATATCAAATTGCTTACCATCTCAGGGAGGGGGAAGGCAAAGGAGGAAGAGAGAAAATACAGAACTCAAAATTTTTCAAAAATGAATGTTAAAAATTATCTTTACATGTAATTGGGAGAAAAGTAAAATACTATTTTTTTTTAAAAATTAAGTTATCAACAATGTTAAATATTTTCTCAAATAAAATATAAATATTGTGACGTCTATCACAAATACCTTCACTACCAAAGAGTGATATTGTACGCCCATTCAGACATGAAAACTAGTATATTATGACCAAACACAGAATACAAACTTTAACCAGGGCTAGTTTACTTCCAATCTAGAAACTGATCCTGAAAGTTATAATAGGAATTATGGCTTTCAGAGACTGTCCAACACATAAGGGCCCTTCACAGCATGTCCTCCATCATACAATGCATTAACCCTTCTTACTAAAGTACATAATACCTGGATTGGTAATTCAGTTATGAGTATAGCCAATTTAATATAAACAAAATACTATTCAGAAAATAGTTTAAGGTGATTTTTACACTATAAAAGTATTTGCTCATTACAAAAGGATTCAACCAGATGCAGGCTGAACTTACAAATAAATTTTCAGGAATACATAAATTACGCACAACACAGCATACCTGTAATACAGATCATCTTGGAAGGGGCCACAAATTTCGGTAGACTTCAGTAGACATTTTGATACTATTGATGACCATGTTATATTATCTCAACATTCATCAGAACTTCTGAACTGAACAGTTCTGGCTCAGCTCTTGCTATTTCCTAACATTCTACAATTAGTTACCTACCTGAGACCATGATCTGTGATCTGATAACAGCCAGATAAACTGAGAAAAAGAAGTACACGTCCAGTCTCTTGATCAGATTTTTCACTCCCAGAGTAAAGTAAGTCTTTTCCCACAGACTGTCTAGTCCTTGTTGCCTTTCCACAGAGTGTAGAAGATTCTGGGAGTGAGGGTATAGTTCTTAATGTGGTCCCAGTACAACAAAATGCATGACCACAATATGTGAAGGCAGGAGAAGCACAATGCTGCTGCCAACAAACACTAGTCCTTAGTCCAACAATGTCCTTATTATAGCAACCAGAAGTTGAACAACTGATATTAGATGCTGTTTCCATCACAGAAAGACCTTCAACATTTCTATGTCTCCATTCTACAGCATCCTCAATATCAGCCAAATCTTCAGCATCTAACATCCACACATAAGCAGAACTGAAATTTTCAGAAGAAACAGGTTTAGTCCAGTGGTGTTCATTATCTACTTCTTTGCCAAGACTTTCATTAGTTATATCATGCAAACAAGCATATTTGCTGGTAGACTGCATGGTAATGTCTTTATTTCTCCATGTAGTCGATGTGCTTTTGTTTCTGCAAGTCTTCAGAATGCCACCTTTATGAGATGAGAGGATTCCCAAAGCTCTGGAAATCTTCTCTAAAGCCACATCTGTAATTTTCTCGCAACCTGAGAGATCAAGATGTCGAAGACTCTGACAGCAACCAAGCCAAGACCAACTACAACATAAAGTTAAAAGCTTATTAGTCAAATAACTTTTTTTAAATTACAAAAATAATTAACAATCTACCTAGACCAAAACATTCCAATGGTATTAAAATTCAAATGGTACATATCTTGATAAAAAACAAATCACAGTTTAAATCACTGGGTAAACTACAAAAAGAAAAAATTATTACTTTCATAATACGGATAATTTGAAAATTGAAAAATAACTTACCTGTCAAATGCAGAGTCTGAGATGTCAGTTTGGGTAAGATCTAAATGTTCGAGGTTAGGGCAAAGCTCTAAAATTTGTCTAACCTATGAAGGAAAGGAAGGAATAAGAATTTTTAAGTAAAACATTCAGGCTTGTGATTCTAAGGCAAAAGAGAATAGGTATTTTTATAACAATGATTTAAACTCAACTTTCTGCTCACTAAGACATACAGACATACATATTTATACTATTTCAGAGCTAAAAGGAACTTCAGATTTTCAGTCCAAATCTATACTTAAAACAAAAACAAATCTATACCAACTCACTGACTGAATATTTCCAGTTGTATAAAGTTATTACTACTACTAAAGGCATTTGCTCATAACCATCTAATGATACTGACTGATACTTACCATTTTACTGGAAACTGCAGAGCTATATGCCAGTACTAAAGTTTTTACAGACGTGCCAACATGCGGGAGAACATTTTGAATTAAGCCATGTAGTAAACGTTTTTCCATTTGTGCAATATTGATTGCAACTGATTCTTCTACAGACTCTTCTGTAAACAAAAAATTAATTCTTAAAGATATGGTCATTTTAAGTGGTATATAACATATTAAATGACTTTAAACAAATGTGAGATGAGCAATAATACTTTGCATTTCTATCATTCATAATTTCTTAAGTCCTCCCAAAGGACAGAGTATATTATCACCATGCTGGTAGCAGACTTAAATATTTAAAAAACAGTATTTTGTAATGAAGGTAAAAAGCATGAACAAAATATTTTCTTCATTTACAACATAACTTAGAAAGTATTTAATTAAATTAGTCAATTATCATTAAACAGTTCTGTAACAGAAAAAAGAACCAATTATTTAACTTCCAACCTTTGCCTCTTAATTTTCTTCCTTTGTCTATCTTAAAATTAGCTATCATTCAAGATACATCTCATATCTGTTGGTGGAGCTAGAACTGGTCCAAACATTCTGGAGAATAATATGGAACTATGCCCAAAGGGCTATACAACTGCCCATGCCCTTTGACCCAGCAATACCACTACTAGAGCTCAGAGAAAAAATCCTAAGAGATCAGAGAAAAAGGAAAAGGACCTAACTGTACAAAAATATTTAGAGCAACTTTTTTTGTAATGGTAAAGAATGGAAATTGAAAGAATACCCATCAATTAGGGAATGGCTTAACAAGTTGTAGTATAGGCTTGTGATGGAATACTACTGTGCTATAAGAAACAATGAGCAGGGTGCTTTCTCAAAAATTTGCGAAGACTTACATGAACTAATACAAAATGAAGTGAGCTAAACCAGACAACACGGTACACAATACCACCAATATTGTGATGATGAGCAACTATGAAAGATTTAGCTACTCTGATCAATATGTCAATCCAAGACCTTTCTAAAGTACACATGATGAAAAATATTATCCATCTTCAGAGAGAGAACTGATGGAATTCAAGCGGTTTTTCTCCCTTTGTTTTTCTTACTTTCTATTTGCAACATGCCTGATGTAGAAATGTTTTTAATGACTTCATATGTACAATGGGCATTGTTTCTTGCCTTCTCAGTAAAGAAGAAGGGTGGAGAAAGGGAAAGAATTTGGAATAGAAAATAAAATTTTCTTAAAAAAAAAAGATCTTACAGAATCAAAGATTATTTGAGCTAGAAGTGAATAAAAAGAACTTAATTCAACCTCCTTTACAGATGGGGAAACTGAGGTCCTAAGAAGTTAAGTGACTTGATTAAGAAGTTAAGTGACCTAATGGCTAGTAATGGCAGAGCCAGAATTAAAATTAAGATCTTCTGACTCCAAGTACAGGACGTGCTCTTTTCATTATACCACATCAAAATCAAATCTGACTTTTTAAAAAAGAAATTGGGTCAAGAAGCATTTATTAAGCACCTATTATGTGTCAGGCAGAGACTAAGTGCTTGAGATACAAAAGACAGAGCTGCTTTCAAGGAGTTCACAGCCTAATGGGGGCAACAAGATGCAAACACCTACATTCAATCAAGATATATGTGTATATACACATATATATACATATATACATATATATACATATATATACATATATATATATATATATATGATAAACTGGAGATAATCTCAGAGAGAAGACACTAATATTAAGAAAGACCTGGAAAGGCTTCTTGAAGAAGATGGGACTTTGGTGGTGGTTGTCTTCCTTCGTTCTCTCAAAATCAATTACTATGTTAGGGTTAAGGTACAGTGTAATGTGTCCAACTATGACTGATCAGACCAATATTAAATCAATCAGACCAATATTAAATCAGAAGGCTCTACCACAAGTAGAATAGTGGGAGTGTAGATGTCTCTAAATTAGCACATCTCACATTTCATCTGAGTTACTGCAATTCTGCATTGCTCATAAGGCACAGCGCCTTCTTTGATGAAGGCATGCCATGCTGGGCGCTCCTGTTTCAGGGTCTCCCACATCATGCAACTGATTCCATAGTTCTTCAGAGAGACCTTGAAAGTGTCTCTATATTGCTTCTTCTGACCTCCAGGTAAGCACTTGCCTTATGTGAGCTGTTCATAAAACAGACTTTTAGGCAAACATACATTTGACACTCGAACAACATAGCCAGTCCATCGGAGTTGTGCTCTCTGCAGGACAGTCTGAACTTTTGGCAGTTCAGCTCAAGAAAGGACCTCAGTGTCAGGTACCTCATCTTGCCAAGTGATCTTCAGAATCTTCCTAAGACAATTCAAATGAAAGTGATTCAGTTTCCTGGCATGGTGCTGGCATACTCTGCAGGTTCCATAGGCATACAACAATGAGGTCAATACAACAACTCCAGAGACCTTCAGTTTGGTAGGCAGTCTAATACCTTTTCTCTCCCACACTTTCTTTCAGAGCATCCCAAACACTGAGGCAGGTCTGGCAAAGTGTGCATCAACCTCAGTATGTATGTGTACACCTTAGAAAGTGTACTGCCAAGGTATGTGAACTTATCCACAGCATTCGAAGTTTCTCCATTTGCTGTTATTGATGGTTCCATGTATAGATGCTATGATACTGGCTGGTGGAGAACCTGTTTTCTTGGTGGTGTTAGGCTAAAATTAACACAAGCAGCAGAGAATCGATCCATACTTTATTGCATCTCAGCCTCAGAGGCTGCACTGAGTGCACAATCATCTGTGAACAAAAAGTCATGCACCAATTCTCCCTCCACTTGGCTTGCAGCCTTTTCAAGTTAAACAATTTACCATCGATGTGGTAAGTAGGTGACCTTGATGCCATTTTTGTCCT